GAGGGAGGAAGGAAGGAAGGAAGGAAGGAAGGAAGGAAGGAAGGAAGGAAGGAAGGAAGGAAGGAAGGAAGGAAGGAAGGAAGAAAGGAAGAAAGAAAGAGAAGGCTTGGTCTCTAACTGATGGCACTGTGAGAAAACAGAAGCTTTGGGAGCCAGGGCTTAGTGGGAGGAAGGTAGGTCACTGGTGGAGAGACCATAAAAGAGATGCGGGGACCGTGGACCCTTCCTCTTTTTCCTCCTGGTCACCATCAAGTGAACGTGCTGTCACATGCCCCCACCATGATGCACCATGCCACCACCAGCCCAAAGGCAAAGGAGAAAGTGACTGTGGACTGAAACATCTCAATCTGTGACGCAAACTAAACCTTTTATCTTTTTAAATTGATCCTCTTGGGTATTTGGTCACAGTGTTAGAAAAGCTGAGTAGTACAGTCGTCAAGACACCACATCTGCCACCAAGAAGGCTCTGGGTACCCTAGGGTGATCTACAAACAGGGATGCCCTAAGGAGACAGCACACTGAGTCTTAGAAGTGCTCCCACATGTGGGCAGGCCCTTCTCAGCTTTCTTCATACAACTGCCACACAGGGGACAGAAGTACCTTGGGCTGTGAGCTACGACAGGCCCACTTCTTGTCCTAACCAATGACTTTTTAAACTAACCACCAAAACCAGACTACAGTAACAGCTGAGTGGGCTAGCTGGTGCCTGGCTGAGCGCTGGTTCCTCAACATCTGGAATGATCAGTCAGCACAGCAGCCACAGCAACAGGAAGCCATGAGTGCCTTAGCATCACGTGGTGAAATATCCTTATATACATGTAACACGAATCTTAAAAGGTCTTATTAATAAAAACAAACCCGGAGCCAGGTATTGGGGTAAACCCTGAAAGACCAGAGGAACAGAAGCAGCCACAGCTTCCTCACCTCGCCAACTTCTCAGCAGATCCTGTTTCCTCAGACTGGAAGCCTCTGTGTCCTCATCTCAACTGAACTGCTGCTCAAAAGCCTAAAAGCTTAACTAGGCCTAGTTCCTGGTCCTCACGCTTTATATACCTTTCTGCTTCCTGCCATCACTTCCTGGGATTAAAGGCGTGAGTCACCATGTCTGGCTGTTTTCAGTGTGGCTTTGAATTTACAGAAATCTAGACGGATCTCTGCCTTTGGAATGCTAGGATTAAAGGTGTATATGCCACCATTTTCTGGCCTCTATATCTAGTGGCTGTTCTGTTCTCTGACCCCAGATAAGTTTATTAAGGTGCACAATATATTGGGGAACACAATATCACCACATATACAGTTAATAATCAAATACAGACATCCCTCAGACACTCCATAGAAGATTGGTTCCAGCATCCCCTGCAGACACCAACACTCTGGGCAGCTGAAGTCCTTCATGTTAAATGGCATAAGGTCCGAATAGAATCTGTGCGTCCTCACATGCTCTAAATCGCATCCCAACACAATAGAGGGGCTGTATAGATAGTTACTGCTATATGTTTAGTGAATTATATCAAGAGAAAAATTCTATCATGGGTGCACACAATTTCTTTCAATCTGGATAAGGTAACGTGCAGATAAAGAAACTGCAGATATGGAAGGAAATTGTACTTTGGGAAAATTCTTTGTTTTGTGTGTTTAGGGTGATGTGTGTGGAGGTCACGCATTGACATTAAATGTCTTCCTCTATGATTTCTACTTTATCTTTTGAGACAGGCTCTCTCACTGGACCTGGAGCTCACCAACATGGCTAGACTGGCTGGCCAGAGGGCCTCGGGGGCCCTCCTGCCCGCACTTCTCCAGAGCTGGGACTGCGGGTGCTGTGGCTGCACCCGGCCTTTATGTGGATGCTGAGGGTCTGAACTCAGGTCCCCATGTGTACACAGCCATCTACTCAGCCCCTCTTTTAGATTTCTCCTTAAATAATATGGTTACTAAAAAAACTATTGCTTTTGTTCGTTGAGATGATGGGGATCAAACTCAGGGCCTTGAACATGTTAGGCAAGCATTCTACCTTTGAGTCACACCCCAGCACAAAAGCCTAAATTATATATGGGACACACAACACTTCATTGAGACGGCATTATGAGACACCTCAGCTCAGGTGTCCATAGATGAAGGGAAAACCTGGACGTTTCTTAGGCCAGGGACTATTTTACCCAGAGATTTTTTTTTTTTTTTTTTTTTTTTTGGTTTTTCGAGACAGGGTTTCTCTGCGTAGCTTTGTGCCTTTCCTGGAACTCACTTGGTAGTCCAGGCTGGCCTCGAACTCACAGAGATCCACCTGCCTCTG